GATAACAGTTGATAATAGATTTTTTTTACGTCACGTTACAAAGTCTAATGACAAATGCTTTTTCTTATTTTCTAATGCATGAACAAATGTTTTTTAAGCGTATTTTTATCAGTATTATATATATATATATATATATATAATATTTAAAAGCCCCCTACTCATCGAAATATGTATCTTAACATTCCAGGCCTTTGAAACATTAACGGAGGCTCTTATGGACAACCACCAAATATACAGTTCAACCGATGAGTTCAGAATAAGTCTAAATCAGCAAAAGAAATCTGGCGGATGCTGCTGATTATAGAAATCAGCTTTTCCGATCAATCGTGCTTTGTGTGACAAACAATTCATTTCATCATTAACAGTATTTCACTTTCATTTATTTATTTATTGATGGTCATCAATTTATTAAATGAGAAAAAAAGAATCAAGCCATTTTGAGATTCTGAAATTATATGATTATAATTGCGATTGTGTTTTTCTTTTTCCTAATAAAATATATCTGATGCATAAAAGTGTTTATTTGCTTTGCAGCATTTTTTTAACTCAAGGAAATGTGATATATAGTTTGAAAGTACTCAGTGAAAGTTTGGTTTTTGTCTTATTCCGCATAAGTTATACATTTATCACACAAATATCAGATTAAACCTATTTTCTTCTATAAGAAATTCATTATAATATTTTAAAATTATTATTCAGCAAATCTCCTTTAAATTTCATTTGGACCCTTACTTTGCAAAAAGGTTTGTATTAGAAATAAATTAAGTGAATGAGTAATGAATAAAGTATTGTAATCATAAGATAGTTATTATTTTCAAAAAAATACAATAATAAAAATTTCTACTTCACAGCAAATAAATACAGGCATTAGTATTTACACATAATTTTTAAAAAAGAATTGAATAATAACACTATTTAATATAACCACTAATATTTCATCTTATTTAATTGAAATTTAAAAACAAATTCATCAACATTATTTATGTATGACAACGAAATTGTAAGTTAATCATGATTAAACATTAATACATTTGATCATTTAACACAAATTATAATTGATTCTTCAGAGAGAAACGAATTTCACATGATTTGGGAAGAATATTTATGGAAAGTGGAGCAAATGAAATTACGAACTAGCCCCAATATGATGAACCCGATACATAGTGAGCGAACTGTTACAGTGAGCGTACGTTCGAACTGTTATTTCATTCGCTTATGGTAAATAACTAAGAAACCGAGATAGTTTAAAGTGGACTCAAATTTCTTTTTTTTTTTCGTAGATATATAAATAAATATTACAAAATTTTAAGTCTAAGTGATAAGTTCAATAGTATATAATTATGACTTATAATTAAAAACGAAGTGGGACACATTATAAAAGAAATGTTTGAAATGAGTCATTTCTCAGAAATTAATAATGCGTGTGGTTCCAAAAAAAGCAGATGGGAGTGCGAACGTATTTCAATTGTTATTGGTTGTAACAATTAAAAATTTAATTGCAGGAAGGAATTCGTTTTAAGGGAACTATGTAGAAGAGAGACTGACATATTTACTCAGTTAATAATTTATAAATTAAATTATGTACTGTTGTTATCACTAACTAGCAAAATTATGTACTATTGTTCCAGTTCTGCTACTGCAATATGCTTAAAAATATTTTTCTATATATTTTGGATATAGTGAACCATCGTTATTTCCGGATCCACAGGAGGTTCATTATAGCGGGGTTTAACAGCATATTAGTGCTCGTTTTTGATACTCACTATAGGATTAGGTTCATAGAGAAAGTTTTCAGCGAAGACAGAATTTTATCACACGCCTGTGAACCTTCGCACACGTGATGCCACACTGACTGAATACGTTTAATAAATTGAATAATGTCCACGTGAAATGAACCGAAATTGTATGTGAGCAAGTGATATATATAGTATAATAAAAGTGATATTATACATAAATACATAATGAGTTTGAAAAGAAAGGGAATTCGAAAATTCATTCCGAACTTCTTTTTATCTGGTAATACTGATTGGATCTTTAGTCTTGGAAAAGATTTCTGGGTAGGTTTTTCGGTTGTCAAATTTCTAATATTGCTCTTTAACGGTAACTGTGCGCATGCGCCGTCTCTATCCCTTATTGTGTTTCCAGAAGTTACTTCGAGATTATTTCCGTGGATCTCTCCACAAAGTATACGGAATGCCAAACGTTGGAATACCTGGAAAACGAAAAAGTATTTATATAATTTATTTTGATTTAATCAACATTATATTGATAAAATGATATCTAATCTTTTGATCTGATTAAAGTAATATTAAAAATAATCTTGACTGAAACAATATTAGAATCGTAAAAAGCGATATCTCATTCTTTGACATAATTAAATTATCAGAATTAACCTTGTATTAGAATGGTAAAGTGATATACAGTCTTTTGATCTAATAATCAGATTATTATAATCAATCCTGTTTCACTTTGCATTAAAAAGGAAAAAACTAATTCTTCCCGACAAAATAAGAACTTATATTCCCTGCAAGAACTGCACCGATATCCAACTTACCCCGGATCACATTCTCGAGTGTCCAACCCTTACCCCATATGTTTTACAACTGGGTATGGTGCCACTGACTTCAGAACTTCGTGAGATCCTCTACAGTAATGATGTATTGGAGCTTGCGGATGCAGTTTTGCAGCCACACGAGGCTATTTAATTGTCCATGGACACGATTAAAAAAAAGGATAAAACTTAAGACCTAATTATTTGGTCTAATAAATGGATTATCATAATTACTCCTGTTTAAATCAATATTATAATGGTAAAGTGTGATCGAATATTGTAATTAAAGAATCAGATTACTCATGTTTAGAAAGTTATATCTCGATGCTTTAAACGTTAGTTGATTAGTTTTGTGTTAAGTTTTGATTAGATTAGAAGTACTAGACTCGTAAAACCTACTTTCTCTCAATAAACCAACTTATTTTTCCAACTTATTTCGAATCATCAAAATATAAAGTTTAACTCAATATAGAAAGTAAGTTTCAATAATGTAGGCAGGAAAGCAGCGGAAAATTTTGACCACTAAATCTTCACATTTTTGCGTATTTCACCACACCTCTTCGTCTATTTACCTTAATCAACGCATTTTTGCACGCTGTTATAAAGTTTTCTTTAACTGAAAGAATAAAAAATTAAAAACTTGCAATTTGTTACTTATTTTATAAACTTTAATTTTAAAGTAATATTGCTCTTAGTCCTTTAAAAAAATTAATAATAATGAAAAATTTTTATCCTTGATTTTATTATCTAACCAAACAACTATTGATACCATGTTTTCCAGGCGTCGACTACCCTGACAATTCAGTAAACACATCTGAAATTTAAGTGATAAAAAATTTCAAATTGTATAAAAACAACATCAATGGCAATTTAACTTTTATTAAAACAGTGAATAACTCTAAACTTTTGTGCTATTTTTCTTCCATTTTGGAGTGAATATTTTAAACACAAAATACTATTACTTTTTCAACATTGTCTCCACTTTTGGCACTAATTTCTATTACTGGTAATCCTTCACTGTTGGCGAAATCTCTTAATTCATTACTTGAAACTTGCTTTGGGCACAATTTATCGATTTTATTGCCAACTGGAAACAAATTTTGAAAATTAACACTTTGTCATATCTTATCATGAAGAAGTTATGACAAAATTATTATTGTCTTATTGTCAATAATTTGTCTTATCCATAATAAAGGACTAATAAGTGATAGAAATATAGCTCCTTTTTTTAAAGCATGTGTTGCATACGTTTTTTTTGGGGGGGGGTGTGATCAGGGGGGGTAATTTTTATCAGAATATATAAGTATGATAAAATTAAAGTTTAAAAAAACCAACTATTATTTACAATTACTTATTGTAAAGAGTGAAATATTTATATTAATTGCGCAAATTATTTAGATAGTAGAACGAACTCCGAAATCTTCAACTTTCAAATTATATACTCGCTTGGCAGCGAACTTTTCGAACATGCCGGTTCATAATTTTCTCATGACGTCTTTATTTTTATTTTGTACGAATATAGTTTTTCTATTTTCAAAATAATTCAGAAATAAAAAACTTAATTTTTTTTTAAAAAAATGATATATTTTAATTTTTATTATATTTTTCTTATTTTGTAAGACATTTTAATAAAGAATTTTTTCACATATAAGTCATACAATAAAATAAACTCAACTAATTATATTTATGAACCGTAAAACTTCTAATTATATTTAAAACCGTAAAAATTTTTCATTTTTATTAAAAACTTCTACATACAAGGGTAAGTTTAGTTAGATTTTTACTTTGACACTTGTTTTCTGAAGGCATTAAAAAAATAAAAAATTATCTTAAAAATATTCTACTAAAATATTTATATATTTATCATTTAACATATTTAAAGTGACAAAGTTACATCAAATGCTGCCCATTAATGGACACTGGGTCTTTAAGTTGTTGAAAAGGATTAAAATATTTAGGAGATATTTGTGTTTGTTTCAAGTTTAAAAGAAATTAGAAAATTAATATTATTCTAATAATTAAATTAATGGGTCGGGTTAGCCTGGTAGGCAGGGTGCTGAACTCACGTTCCTGAGAACGGGATTACAAATCCAGCCGCCTGAAGATTCCCCGTGTAATTGTTGACTGGTGCACGTTAAATATGCCGGTCACAAAGTTCTCCATGTTACCATAACAAATTATGCAACTGAGGGTACTGAATTGGAGGTTGATCGTCCTCTGGTTCGGGTCAAAATTACGATCTGTGGACGAATGAATAGATGTATGAATGGGTTCACCCTATAAGCGGGTATGACGTATGGGTGTGACAGAATTCAAATTTTTGGACATAGATGGTACCACTGGAAAACAGGAACAGTCTCAGCCCTTGCCTTACTGGACTAAGACGGCAAAAAATAAATTAATAAATAAGGCATATTTTTGTTTATTTTTTGCTTTTGCTTAATAAGTGGAGTAATTGCAAAGTGTAGTAATATTATTACCAATGAGCATCGGCGAATCTCTATTCACTCGTCTCACGTCTCTCAGCCATGTGATCAGGCTGATAAAAGAGTTTCTCTCTGTGACATCAACAACAAGAGCAACACCGTCAGCTTTTTTGATGTAACTGATAAAAGAACAACAATTTGAGCAACATTTAGGAGGATTGTTTTTATTATTATTATTATTACAATAATGTAATTCTACGTTGCATTTTAATATAAAGTTATTTAAATCAGTGTCTTATCTTATTAACCGCTTTAAAATTATTATTTTTTGGTGTAAATTACATTAATAAACTATTATAAATTATTGTTAAAGAGATTCGTTAAATAAGAACTTAACTGTCAGCTTCATATACAAAATGGTGAATGCAAAAATTGTACTTTAAATACATCCGTTCGTTTGGAAAGTAGAAATATTAAATGAGAGTTGTGAACTCACCAAATTTGTTATTTCAAAAAATGGTTACTTAGAAGAAATAATTTATGTTCACTTATAGATCTTAAGAGTATCATAAGGGAAATATTTGGACGTCTTTAGGCACAAGTGTTCTTTTTAGTACACATATTTTTAGTTCAACTGTTGTATACCAAGAAACAGCAATTATGGCGAAGCAATTTTCAGGGTTGGTGAGTCTAAGCGAATTTTTTCACACTAGGGCTTAACTCCCTAGTGTGACAAAAATGAAAAAAAAAAATAATTAAGTTTAGTATGAAACTGCGAAAACAGAAAAACTCAAACATGGGAGCAGAAAAAGGGAACTACTTTTTTTTCGGCTTACTATGTACTTTCAGAAATAATTCTCAAGCATACAAGGTTCTTTTACGCGTACTATATTCAACACTAAATAAATAATCCCAAAAAAACTGAAACTGTAAAATATTGTCTGATTAAAAAACTACATTTGCTTCAAAAATACATAAATAACGAATAACAATCGGCATGTTTCAAGCGCTTCAAAAATAGGCACCCATTTTCAAGACCTACCCGCCGCGAATGAGAAGAAACAAAAGTGATTACGTTTCTTTTCTTCCGATCACTGTCTTCTCATTCACGCCTAGCAAATCCTCAAAATGAGGGCCTATCTTTGAAGCGCTTCAAACTTGCCGACTGCTATTTGTTATTTATATATATATATTTGAAGGGGATAGAGCGTTCGCATTCCGATGAGGAGTACCGGGTTCGAATCCCTGCCATAGCTGGTCGATACGATTTCCATACCCGGCTCTCACCGACCGCATTGTTAATGTAAAATATCCTCAGTGCTAGACGGGTAATGGGTTAGAGCAGGGGCCCCCACCAGGGGGAAGGTGGGCGCACTATGCGCCCACTTAAAGCTTGAGGGGAATTTTTACACTAAATAAAGCGAATAGTTTGGGGGGATTTAGAATTTGCCCAAAAATGCGCCCAAGAGCTTGGGGGGATGGGGGCCACTGGGTTAGAGTCCCTTACCATCAGGCTAACCGTGGGAGGTTTTCGCGGTTTTCCTTTCCATGTAACGGAAATGTGGGTCAGTTCCATCAAATAGTCCTCCACGAAAGTAAATTCCTCCCTATACTTACTTGATCGAGGAGTTTTCTTGTCTTCTGGATTGGGTTCAAAATGACAAGGTTACGGAGTTGAACATGGGTAGTCGTAAACTCAAATTTTGTGTCGACTGTTCAAAGACGGTTATATAACTATAATGAAATAAATAAATATTCCACATTCTTGTGAAAAAGTTGGGATGATCGCATAACTCCAGAACAACTGGACCGATTTCGCTCACATTTTTTTTTATAGTTTGTCATATAAAACTAGATTCTTTAAGTGCGGTAAACATTTGTATTCCTTAAAATTCCAAATTTTTTCCACTACAAGTAAAATAAAAAACTCTATAATACATAATTATTAAAAAAATATTTTTTTGAATTATGTTTAAACAAATGAATTTGATCTTTTTGTGAAATTTTTTTTAAAATTAGCTTAAAAAGTCCCCTGATAAGACGAAATACGCAAATAATAAAATTTCCATTCATGTGACCAAATATTCGACCACTCTCCCGCCTAAACTATCGGAATCCTATTTTCCAGATTTGCGATATTTTGAGGACAGGAATTCGAAACCGTGAAATATACGGTACATTTATTCAGAAAAAGTACATTTTTGTGTCTGATTTTGTACCTTAAAATATCGTTTGCATTTATTAAGGAGAATGTTTAAGGTCTTGACCACAAAAAAATAAGATTGAGTCTGAGTATGATTATTTGATCAAAAGTAATTCTGGATTTTACTTTTTGCTCACAAATGGAATAATTTTGAAATATGTAGAATGTCCCTATTAAAATGAATATACCAACATACTCCAGAACATATGCCTTGTAGACAGATAATCCCCCTGTATCCCAAATATTTAACGTCACTTTTCTTCCTCCAACAATAACTCTCTTCTGAAAAGAGTTCAGGACCACAGTTCGGTCAACATTTTCTACAACAAATAAAATGTATCATCATTAAGTATCACATATAAAAATTAAGTACTATATATATATATATATATAAAACTGTGAATGACTTGACTGAAATTGGTAGTTGTTGACCTCCTCCGTTGAATGTTGACAATGACATAGTAGCTTTGGTAAATGTTCGAAATACACTAGGTCTAATTAAGTGCCACTGCCCGGTATGCACAAATTTAATTTTTTAAGATCAAGTGCCACTGCCCGGTATGCACAACTTTAATTTTTTAAGGTCAAGTGCCACTTCCCGGTATGCATTTAACCGGTACTTCGAACATTGAACATTGATGTTTCTCCTAATCTATCCTCAGCAGATTTTAAAATATCGAATAAATATAATAATATCAACGAATAAATGAATATCAAATCGAATATAACAAATATTTCGGATATTCACAAAAGCGTCTATGTGATTGCTGACATTCAGAGGTAAAAATCGACATTCTCTTGTTTTCGGTCGTTGATGGTAGCATATATAGCATAAAAAGCTTTTTTATGTTATTTCTTTATCTAAATTCCCACATTTTATTATTAACATCCGCCTTTTAGATTAATATTTTAAGTTTTCTCCCTTAACCGATATACATATATATGGGTAAAACCAAACTGTCTCTCCATATAATTGAAATAAAAACACTTTATTTCCTAATGGGGAAAAATAACACAAGCCTGCGAAATTGAAGTTTTTGAAAAATACAAGAGAAGTTAATGTTGATTTATGTGTTATTTGATGTGCTGATTCCTAAAATGACCTTCATTTCCCACCATCACTTCAGGATTTTTTGTAAAATCGATATCTATGTTTTTAATAAAATCCTATTTGGAAAGGAATTTACTCAGACAAATGTGCATGTACTACCTAGTAACTGATCTTCTTTATTCATTTCGATCTATTTAAATTGAATCTTGCGAAGGTAAACTAATTTTTGAGTAACCGGCTAATTTTTGTAGGTTAAAATGAATGAAAAAATACTGTTGCCAGATCGTACAAATTACCTCTAGTCGAGATAAAAAAACAATAAGTTCCTTGAATTTAAACTTTTTACATCAGTTTCTAAAACTAACGATTGACCAATAATAGCAAATATTGTGTATGTGTACATGAAAGTTTGAAACAAAAAACAAAACAAAAGAAAAATGTTTCTATATAAGCACATGATCATTTTTCTCTAAAACTTATTTTTGATTATATTCTTTTATGCTTAATCTCAGGCCTATCTCGAGTTAACATCTAAGAGTAGTCGTCGAGCATGTTCTCGTCACAACTTCCTTAATATTTAAGCTCCATATCTCTGATATCTTGATGGAACCTTTCACCTTGTTCTTCGCTGACTGCTCCTACATTTTCGGAGAAAAAGCCCACATGTGAGTGAAGGAAATGCATTTTGACACTCGTGGAACAATCCAAAATTTTTCATTTGTAATTTTTCATTACAAATGCTTTGCAGTTAGGATCCTTGTAATTACCCAGAAATTTACTGACAACATCTTTGAAGACAACCCAAGCTTCTTTTTTCGTTGTTTGCAATGCTAGCCTCAGAAATATTGCCATATATTAGCCATATTTCATGAAATATTAGCCATATTTCATGAATTTGCGGGATGTCTGGACCAACAAAGATTCCCTCTTTCTGCTTGGGATAAACCTGGAAACTTATTGCACAGGTATTTGAAACAATTGTCATCTTTTGGAACAGCCATGTCAAGCTGCTTCATTACAACTAATTTTATGTTTAGAGGGGTAACAATACTCTTTGGAATCAACTACGCTGTTTCGAATAATATTCTTGGAGCCTGGGTCAAGATTTAATCTTTTCAGCCGTTCTTTTTTCAGTCAATGGTGATTCTTGTCATGGCTGTCCCACTCACAAATGAAACATGAGAACTTTGTCAACCCACCTTGTTGAAAAAGAAGCAAGGAGATAACTTTCAAATCCCCGCAAATGGACCTTCTCTGATCAACATATTCTAATTTGTCCAGGACGAGAGAAAGGTTTTCACAGCATTATTTTAAATATATTGAGTGTCTAACTGGTATCTATGCATACTGGCTCCCATGATGGAAAATGACAGCTTTGAGACTTCGTTTAGATGAATCTATAAGCAGCATCCACTCATCTTTATCGTAGATGACATTTTCCTCTTCGTCAAAGTACTTAATAAATTCTTTTTCTCGATTCCAGTATCAATAAAAAGATGTTCCTTTCGCCAATAAGTTTTTTTCTTTCTGTCTGAAGCCTAGCAAGTATTCAGCTACCTCTTTCGAAACGCCCAGATCTCTAGTCAGATCATTAAGTTTAACCTAAGAGAATGGAAGAGGAAACCGGCTGCAGATGGCTTATATTCGATATTGGAGCCTTGAACTTCTGAATGTTTCGAGTCTGAAAACTGGCAATTCAGTTGGAGGCACAAACACATCAGGTTCATGAGGAACATAGCGTATGGCTGATGGAATGTTATCAAGATAAGATATTAGACTTTGATTTTTTCAGTTATACCCAAGAACACTTGGCAAGAATGAAAATAGCAATCATCAAAGTGATTTTTAGGCTCCATTCATGTCATAGGAATTCCAAATCGTAATGCGGTCTTCTTTCCTCGGAGCCATAAGCGCATATGATTTAGATACTATACACAGACTTTATGAGAGACCATGATTTGGCCTGATCTCCGATTTTCATGGGAAAATAGAAAATACGCAAGATAAAGTTGTCTTACATAGTCGGTAATGCTCCTCGTGCGATTTTTAACAACACTATGTTCGCCGCAAATGTAACAAAAGTCACCTGAGAAATTTTCACAACGTCTCGAACTCGAAGCCATGTTTCACGAAATGTAGAGAGAAGAGCAGACGTTAAATATACTTCCAAGAAAATGACTCCGGATTACCCTTGATAGTGTTCCTAAGAGGTCAGCAAACCAAGATAGGAATTTACATGACGCTATTGGTCGAGGGATATTGTGACAGAGAGAGGGACGATGACAGAAAGATGTCATAGAGGGGTACTTTTGAAGATTTTACCAAAGTAGAATGTTGGTCACGCAAGAAGAGAAGAAACTCATAAAAGAAAATTTTTTATGGTAAATGTTCATAAAAATTCCAGTAAAATTGAATTTTTCAAAAAAATGTGACGTGATGGAAAATTTTCATTATTGTTTCCCATTTCAGCACCAAAAAATACATAACGTTCAGCAATCAGACCTCCTGTATTTTTTTCATCGCAGGCGTGTTTGCAATACTTTTTAATTGCATAATATAAAAGCATATGATTTTTAGGAATTTTCCGATCCCAGACTTAAAAAATACCGCAACTCGAAATTTTTCAAGTTTGATAACTCTATCGCCACTTTTAGGGCATCGAACTTTTAAAATTGATTATCTTTCAGTAACAAAAATTCGATTCTCACCTTTAAAAATGTCTTTTACAAATCTTGTTGCTAAAGAAGTTTTTCCAGTGCCTAAAAAATACAAAAAATATAATTTTAAAAATGCACAGAGTGAAACTCCAAAAAGAAGTCATCACTGCTCTTCGTACATATATTTAGAATACTTGACAAGTAAGTACTTTGTTTACGTCGCACTAGAGCTGCACAATGGGGCTATTGGCGACGATCTGGGAAACATCCCCGAGGAAGATCCGAAGACCTGCAATCGCAATTTTGATCCTTTGCAGAGGGGATGGCCCCCATGGTTTGGTAGCCTGACGAACTGCTCGCAAAGTCGAGCACTTTACGGCAGAACAGTTAAACGATGACCCTCGATTCCTAGGCAGGCTGATCAAAGTGCTCACCCACCCGCTTACGGACAGCAGCCAGTAATACTTGACTTCTGTGTTCTACTGTTCCGTGTCTTTAAGATCAGTCTACTGCGGGAGTGAATACTAGACTAAAAAAAAGTGAAAGTGATGCATGTATGGAAATTAATAATTAAGCAGGGGGAAATCAAACTGGTTTTGATATTAGGTACTTCTCACTAGTCATTCGATAGAGTTTTTAATTATTTATCACTTAAATTTTAATTCACTTTGCATATTGGTTTAATTTCATTTTTAACAGGGGTTCTAAAATATATATTAAGAAATGTTATTGCAAGATCTCCATGTAAACAGTGCTAAAAAAATATGAACACCCTGAATAACATTTGGTTTATGGGTCGAATAATCACGTACTGTGGATCAATCTTAATGTTCTGAGGGGAACCTCAAAATATAAGAGGGGGGGAATCAAAATCTGGAAAATATAGTCAGGAGATCAGTAATTTGGACCTCTTAATGTTAATTTTACTTTGTACGTGTTTCGTTACAACTCGAAAACTTATAAAACTAGTCTTAAAAAATTTGCACGCTATCATTAAATTCGTTTATCCAAAAATAATTTCACGAAAGAAATAATCTTTAACAATTATTTATTACTTTTTTAATAAAAGTCAAAGAAAAAATTTAACTGTAAGTTATAAAAGTTGTTATATCATTTTAAAGTATGCATTTCTAAATGAAAATATACAACATTTGGAATATATCGGTTGAATTGTTCTTGAGAAATGGAAGTTTAAAAATGTATTTTTTGAAAATATTGGGATATTCGAATTTCATTGAATATTAAGATATTCCAAATATTGGAAGCATATTATGGGCAGCTGCCCCCATATTTTAAAAATTAACAATCCTTATCAGAAATTAAAAAAATATGTTTATTAAAAGAAAGTTAGTCTTTGTTTCTTTATGATTTAGTAACTAAAAATATCGCCTGCGCTAATGAATTAGTTAACACGTTTGAAGTCACTCCTTTAAATCATCAAGGTTAGTCCCAGAAAGTTAAAGACCAATTATTAGATCAAAAGTTATTCAGAATGTCCCGCTTTTTATTACGCACTGTACATTTCAAATAATACAATTAAATTAACTAAAACTTTTACATAAAATACAATGAAATAGGATTCCAGCCAAGTAAACAATAATTTATTTTATTCCGAAAATACAATCAATCACATTAAATTAGAAAATCTCACACCAGTAGATTATCTTCAAGCCTTGAGTTGCTCTCGCATTGGCGAAATAACACAAAGTTCTCGCTATAATGGATTGTTGTTGTAGTTCATTTACGTCGCACTAGAGCTGCACAATAAGCTATTGGCGACGGTGTGGAAAGCATCCTTGAGGATGATCCGAAAACATGCCATCACAATTTCGGGGGATAGCACCCCCGCTTCGCGGTAGCCTGCCGACCTGAGCACGAAGTCGAGCACTCTGCGGTAGAACAGTTTAACGAGGACCCATGCCACACATCCTCGGTCCCTACGTAGACTGATCCAAGTGGTCACCCACCCGCACACTGACCGCAGCCAGTGATGCTTGACTTCGGTGATCTGCTGGGAACCGTGTCTTAACGATCAGTCCACTGCGAGACCTCGCTATAACGGAAGATCGACCAATGCCGCAGTTTTGTGTGTTCAACTATAATTTACATTTTGTTTTTCTGCGCAAAAACTATTCGACTTAAAAGCTAGAAACTTCGATGTTGTTGTTGTTGTAGTTCATTTACGTCGCACTAGAGCTGCACAATGGGCTATTGGCGACGGTCTGGGAAACATCCTAGAAACTTCGAAGAGAATTGAAATAAGTTCAAGAAATAAGATGGAATAAAGAAAAGAGAGAATAAAAATTCGAGAGTTGTTAAGCTTTTAAATGTCAAAAAAATAAAATAAAAAAGAAACAAAAAAAAAATTTTAAAAAATGACATAAATTTAAGACCGGAGAAAAGCTGTCATTAATCATCGTTATATTACCGTTGTTAAGTATTTTGCTAGTAAGATCGAAGTCACGCGATACTTAAAATACATCGTTAGAATATAATTTAAAATATTATTAGTTATTTTCTCGATAGATCGATATATTACAGTACACACTTTAGGTGTGACGCCTCACGGAAACTTGATTCGTGCTTAATATATTTGTACAATGAATCAATTAAGTTTTATCAATCAATCAAAGTTTGTAAAAAAAAAAAATAGGAGTTACCACTACACAAAGATGAGACTTAAGCAACGTAGAAACAGAAATATTCTGAAGTTAGTAAATAAATATTTATTATAACTATTATTAATAATAGTTAGTAAATAATTACCTATAATTATTTTAATTATTTATAATATTCATAAAACTTACAATTAGGAAGGTTTTTCTGATATTTTATTGTTTTTTTTAAACATATAATTCTTAAATTGTTCTAACTATTTCAACGCCTTCGAGTTTATTATTAATTTCATAAATATATTCAAATAGATGTGTATTTATAAATTTGATTACATTTTATGGAATTTTCATAACGTTACTTATTTTTGGTTTTTTTTTTCTTTTTGAAAATATCACAAGATTTTTTTTTACTATAAAAATTGTTGTTTTACTTTTAAAAATCCAAAAATAATTCTTTGCTATATGAATTCAGTATTTAATGCAGGACGCTTTATATCCCGATTACACTCAAGTAACAAGTAGGTCGTTGGTTCGTAAAACACTGGCCAAATGTCTCAAACTATATAAAATGGCCTAAGGAAATATATTCCAAAACATTTCTGAATATTTCTGCTTCTATTTTTACTTAAATAATGCTCATCAAAATTGTAAACTCACCCGAATCCCCTGTAATGGCGATATTAAGCTTACATTCTGTCATCGTGTTGACAAATTATGGCATACAATTAAAACAAACAAATTTTTTCTTTGATGATGCAATATCAGTGGCAGAGAGAGGTCTATCTTTGTTTCACTATCGAGATCACGTGGTGAGAGCGAGAGACATCGTGTCATTGAATCAAAATAATCGGAGAAGATTATTTCAGATCCGCAGTTTCACATTGCTTATTTTCTTATTGCAAGGAAAACAAAATCAAACTTCTCCTGATTTATCAATAAAAAAATATTTTACAAAATGCATGCAATTGTTAAGGGAACAGTCTGGGATGCTAACCTCCTGTTTAAACATGGAAATATATAAATGATTCGTACTTATACTTTTTATTTACTGACTCCATTATGCGCTTTTATAATTGAATATTCATTCTAGTGATCGTGTAACACTAGTGGGATAAAGTACCGATCAAGAAATGAGTCATGAATTTTTATGTTAGGTTGTCTGTGAACTCAATGCTTCGGCCAATTTTCTATCCGTGGGGTTCTTGGTGCTCACCAAAAAACTTTAGTCCCGTTGGGTGGAGCTTCCCTGGCTGAGCGGTATCGCCTGCGGGGCGAAGCGAGGAGTTCTAATATAACCTCGGATATTTGGTTTCATCTGTTCTTCTATTTGACAAAGACTTATAAGCCTAAATTGAGCCAAATGTGCGTCATTTCAATAAAGCAATAAACCCATTGGGTTTTTGTTTTAATTCTCTCCTTTCATCTTTCCGGTGCGCTTCCGGAGTAAAGACCGGTTGTTAACCTAGAATGGCAGAACCAATCGGATTTATCCTAAGCTGAACAGCGTCCTCGAAAAACTTATAAACCAGTAGAAAAAATATTTTTTTAAAAAAAGCCTTCAAAAACTTCCTTCTTTACCTTTTCAATTATTAAAAAATAAATTTTTTCACTTAAGGAATCTGTACCAGGAATTTCTGCTCTCGGAATATTTAATTAGAAAGGCAAAGCAGTGAACTTTCAAATATCCGATTAGAAATTTTATAGGAAGTTTCCTGAGGATGCTTGTCAGTCTCAATTTAACCTTATTCTGGGTGTGGTTAATGGATTCTCGGAAATACTTTTGTATTGCTTTTGTGTTCGGTAAAAATGAATTTTACAAAACTATGACAATAATCATTAGTTATTCACACTCTTCTATGGTCCTTTATTAAGAAGCCAATAAATATTAATTGTTCACTTTTACAGAGTTTGTTCTATTTCAGCCATGCGATCGTTTCTTATAGACTATTGAGAGTATTTGTTTGACATTCAAAACTGAATTCTTCCTGCAGTAATTACATTGTTATGGTTTCCGACTAGTGCCAAAACATGATTTTGAGCTAAATGTTCGAGTTATTATAAATTTAGAATCCCCGTACTCTTAGCTTCATTAAAAAATACTTTGCTTTCGATTGTACTCTAATTATTTACAAAGTTATAGCACTTTTTGTGCAAGGTGATAACAATGGACAGATTTTAAGTCTTTAAATGCGCCAGTAAGGTGGCCGAGAGGTTAGCGTGCTTGAATGCAAATCCAATGACTGTGGGTTCAAATCCCGCTCAAGGCATGGATGTTTCTTTGTGTGTTGCCCTCTGTTGCGTGAATATAGTCCACTCTATGAATGGGTATCTGTGGCAGCGTGGTGTGGGTAATGTTGACCGCCTCCGTGAGTTTGGTTTAAAAGGGCCCACCGGGTAACGATAAATGAGCTTTTAAGACAAAGGTGGCATCTTCTAAGGCGTCTTGCCGTTATTAAAAATAAATGAATAAAAAAAAACTTAAAGTGTGTTTATTTCAAAATAAGGTTTTTTTCACATTTTACTCCACCCTAAAACATATCTAATGTAGTTTTCAAAATAATGGTCAACAATTTTTCATGAGTGTTTATGATTATGATTATAGCACACATGTTTTGAACTTCAGACTATGAAAAAAAAGAAGAATTTAATTTTTTATGCAAGTTGTTTGCAGAGACAAGAGTGGAAATTTTTAAAAATTTGCTTTTTTAACTACATTGATCCCTTAGCCAGTAGTGTATGCACTTGCTTTTAACATAATAGTTCAAAACATAGTTGATAGCCTTACAAATAAAAAGGATTTTTTTTTTCCTCAAAGGATTTTTTTTTTGTTTCAGGAGATAGAAATTTTTTTACAGTGTTTTAAGTACATGCAAAAAAAATGCTTTTTTTTTTAACCTAAAACTGGTCATATAAAAAAATAATAATGATGATAGCAGTTTTATTAGTTTTATCAGTTTTTACATATAATAAAAACAAATAAACTAGTTTCTTATCTGTTATATTAATATTTCAAAAAAAAAAGCCAAAACGAGTCATATACCTTAAGTAAAGTAAAATCCAAATCGCAACAATTTTTTACACGGAGAAACAATTAAAAAAAAATAAAGAATTCAGTTAATTGGTATTTATCAAAAACTGAAAGGCATATACCGACACTATTATTAAATCTTAAATAATTCTATTTATTGTTATTATTATTTTCAATTCCCAGTGACTTTGCGTTATTAGATGAAGCAAAGCACGTTTTTAAAAGTTCAGCTTATAAAATTAAAAAGTAAGAATACTCAGAATCAGTAGACATCATATAATGCTCGGGATCAAATCAAGATAGCCAAATTTATCATAATTAAGAAAATATTCCCATTAAATTTGTTGTTCAGCAGAGAACTTAATTTTTTATTCTAATTAGATTAAATATTTCAAATTAATTAATTTTTTAGAAACATATTTTAAAATCGCAACTATGAAAACATAATAAACACGTGTTTTTAGATAACTATAGAAAAACTTATTCTGTGACGTAGCTCTCACATTTCATCCACGTGCACAAATGCAATTGGGTATAATATGAAAAAAACACAACTACTTCGATTTGGTAGGAACAACATATGACGCAATGCTAAACGAATGGAATTTAGTTGTTGTTTATTTAGTTATTGTTATTAGTAGTTGTTGTTATTTGTTTTAGTTGTTGTTGTTTATTTAGTTGTATTTAGTTTCAATAACTT